GAGTGTACGTGTAAAATGGATAAGAGTTTGAACAGAGGAATGTTGAACGAGTTTGAGAGTCGCAAGATTTGGTGGTCGTCAGTGTGACAATAGTGATTTTGATTTTTGCATTGCGGAACACAGCGAGTTGCCTGTGATAAAAATCTGTTCCGATGAAGGAAGAGACGATTGTCAACAATTGAAACCAAAAGGGACTGAGGCTTCTTTTGGAACTACTTTGATAACTGCAACAATTCTTTTTATTATTTCAATTTTGTTTAGCAGGGTGACGGTTAATGAACTTTTTTTGTATTGCGTGTTGTGTTTTTTCATCTGTATGTTGTGACGCGGTACATGTACTATGCTGTGCGTCGGGATTTTGCATTATCAGCAAGTTTTGTGGTAAAGTCTTTTGATGGCAGCGAGGTGACGACAAGAGAAGGTAATGAGCTAGTTGTACAGGAGGAAAATTGTGTTGAGGAGGAAATAAAAGAAGCTGAATTGAGATCTCGTCGTGGGAAATTTATTTATAACAGAACTTACAATTTCGTTGTTTAAATCAGGTTTGTCAATTATATTTTCGGCTTGACAGATTACGATAAAATCGAGATTGTAATTCGAAACTGGGGGTTGTTTTCAAAATTTGCATAAATCGGGCGCTGCAAAGAAATATTTGAGTTACAAGCGCTTCGAAATGCTGTACCTTCATAACGGCATAGCTTTTACTTGTTGCGCTTTATCTTTCAAAACTATTGATCGATTCTAGCTCAAAAACTCTCAAAGCAGCGGTTTAAGTGTTAAAGCCCGTGGCTGGTTGAAATCGTCTCTTGTTTGTTTTCAAACGATTTAGGATGGATCGAATCGACTTTGGATCGATTATTATTTTATCAGCTTGTGGTTTGAACGAAACGTTTTTTCTTCTCGATAAAGTTCACTCAACAAATTTAGAAAGATTTACTTGATTTTTCATTTTTGTCAACGATCTGACCATGGAACGAAATGACCGGTTACCGTGATGCCCCCTAGCAGACTACCCATGAACAAATTAAAATCTTTGTTACAGAAAACACGGAAAGTGACACTTTTTGTATGAAAGAGTATTAGGAAAAATACACCATTGTCGTCTGAAATTCATTGTTACGTTAAAAATAGAAAAGGTTTATAGAAGTAACTGTAACAGTGTGAGGTTTTTACTTAAGGGGCAACTCCAAAACTAGTTCGTAAACGAGGGAAGGTGTATCTGTCGTCTAAGCATCAGAGCACAGGCGATTTAGGTGGAATGAGATGTCCAAATAGGCTTCTAAGTAAAAATTTGCCCCTCTGTACAAGTAATTATCCATTTTATAGTGCTTAAAACAGTTTGAATCACCGGGTTAATTTTGGCCAATTTAAGCTTTGTACTGATATAGAGAAGAAACCAGGACCTTCAGTTTATGTAGATGCTACGAAAACAATTAATGCTCCATACTGTCAAGGAAATGTTAACAGAATTGCCAGGAATGTTTGCAGTGTTTGAGCAATTTTTCCACCTTGAATACATGCAGTGACAGTTATACTCAGGGGGGGTGGGGGGGAAGAGACGAGGTCTGGGACCGCCGAGAAACGATGTTCTCACAACTTGCAAAGCGGTCACCCAGCGTGGTGGTCAGCGGATAGTTACAGTATTTTTCCCACAGTAAATATTTTAGAAGCAAGAATTGAAGCGAACCAGCAGAGGAAATCAGAAAAGCTTAAAAATCTGAAAAAACTTATATCATGCAACTTTGTTTTTCTTGCATATCGTATTTGTCTTTTGGTACTGAAATGCGGGGGAAACTAAAACGCAACAGTGCTAGATCTTAACCAACAACAACGCGCTCGATGGATTTAATTTATAGGTTACATCGTTTTTGCCGGGCAAGGATAACTTGATGCTGATAAAATTTACTGGAGCAAGTGTCAAATTTATCGGAAGCAAGTACATTCAAGAAAGCTTTATAAATATGAGCTTACTGCTCTACACATCATAACTGAATAAAAATTAACACTTCATAACATTTCACTTCATTTATTTCGATCAGTCAACAACTTGAATTCAAAGTTAAAATTCAAAACGATTCTAAAACAAATCACAACTACTACTGAAAGCTCTGTACCTTGAAGCGACTTTAACTTTCCTAGGTTTGCACCAAAACACTGCTCGATAGCTCAACTCTTCGGCGGCCTTTTCTTAGCAGCTATACGGAGCTAGCTATATGTTGCATATTCCAAACTCTGCAAAGGGAAATTGTTTAACAGAAAAAGAAAACCACACACTATGTCTGAAAAGCGACATAAAATCAATAAATTTGCGAATTACCAAAATATAATAGTGAGAAACAGTCCAGCCTTCGACTGCCATGTTTTTATTTTTTCTCAAGACCGTTGATCTATGGTTTTTGACGTAATGCGCATGATCAGTGCGCAAATCCGCTGGCAAGACCCTTGCTGTTCGCTTTGCAAGTTGTGAGAACATCGTTTGGATTTCATTTAAGGTGGCTCCCTAGAGTAAATTGGCCGTGCGCAGCCTGAGCACTAGTATGGCGCGAGCTTTAAAATCCGCGCGACGTCCACGCAAAAATTAAAACAAACATGGCCTCTCAGTTTCGAAATATTCCCCCCAAAAAACTTTATTAACTTTCTATTGAAACTCATTGTGCAAAAAGTTTGTTTAGTGTAGGTCAAACATTTATGAGAGGAGACAATGTTACACCGGTTACAAGTCAATATCGATCCTTAAAAGAGCAAATTGTATGTAAAAACAAAGCAGAAATTTTCCAAAGACATCAATTCTTTCGCTTCAAAAGTAGACAAACGTTAAATAGTCGAAGTAAATGGACAATGTTTTTGCACAACGAGAAATAATTTTTACTCACAGATTGACCCTTGACGAAAGCAATAGTTGTCCGTCGAGACCTACGGTCTTGTGCATGTAGTTGAGGACATGATATACGAATTATAGATCGGCGCCATCTTTTACAGCAGACTTTAAAAGAAAAACTTCGCCGTCGAAATTATCCCTAAAGAAGAACAAGGTTTAAAAAGTATCCGGAAGTGGGCTAACATTTGAAGATCTGCAAGCAGTGTACAGCAGATTAAAAAATGAAGGGCTTATTGCGATCCTTTCACAACCACCGTCTTCATCGCCGACGATCGCCATCCTCACGAGTGACCACCACGCTTTGAATTTTAGCTACAATAGTCAAGTGTTTCGAAGAAAACATCCTGTGTTAGGTATAAAATTGAATCCGCTATCCCTCCTTTTTCAACTGGCGAGATATCACCGTAATGATACTAATAAACGGCTTCAAAAAAAGGCTTTCGTACTCTTCAAAGAAACCACATGTTTTCAGTAGCTTTGTGCATTATGCGCATGCGGGCGTGATGGCTCGCGCGCGTATTTTGCTCACACGACCCCGAACCACGCGTGTTTTTCGGATTTTTGTGACGTCAGCGCAGTTAATTAACCGTGAATTTCTCGCGTTTCCTTCGGTAAATTATTTTGAAAATCGCCTTATTTCTTAACAATGGTAGTACCTTTGTACTGCCATTTTTTTGTCAAAATCTGTAAGAGCTAAACTCCTCTATTAAGAAAAAGTACAAATTTCAAAATATTGGCAAAACCGTCTTAACGACCCCATGTTTTTTCCACTTTAAAATGTTAAGCAATATCGTTAATATAAAGTGGCAAAGTTTAAAGACATTTCACCGCGGGAAATTAGAACTATCAAGGAAAAATGGGCAAAAATGACAAAATTACTGCCTGTTTAAGGATGCAATGTTTCCATGGTAACGGCCTTAATCCAGAAAATGAAACTTGATAAAGGAGCCTTCTTATATGGGTAACCTTAGCGGTGAATCTCGTGAACAAAATCGCAAAGACAAAGTAACTAGATTTTCCTCTGTAACGTATGCTTGATAGCTCGGATCATTAGTAAATACTCTAGGGAGCCACCTTAAGAGAATGTGTGGGAAGTAGCTTCCCCCCCCCCCGGTTATACTTGTAACACCCATCACTACTGTATATGCCACACACAGGTTACAGCATTTGAAACACTTGGCACTGAACTACAACTCATTCATTTTAACGGTGGCAATTATTGGTGTTGGTATCTACAGCACTTAGACTGGGGGATATAATGTATTTGATTCTCATGCTACAGATATGTATCATAACAGTCATAGTGAAGGGACATGTGTATTGTTGGAAATACCATCCAAGCATAAATTAGTACAATATTTTCAGACTCTACATAGGAATGAGGATATATATGAACTTAAAGATGTACATATTGCCACCTTTGAACCTCATCTTTTCTCAAGCAATGTTGACAATTGTAGTATATCAAATGATAATAGTTACCAATGTTCCTAATGTGTTACTCTCTTATTAATCCTTGTGGATACTGGACTCAAGGAACTTTATTTGCCCTTGTTAGTAACCGGAATACACTGTACAAAGTGATGGGTGTGAAAACACATCTGTCAGTATCAGTGGAGCTGAGATAAACCTTACTCTCTGGGCTGTAACCACTTACGTCCTAAGCTGCAATTTCTGCATTGAAGATGTGCATATTTTCAAACATTGTCGTGAAATGACACTTTTTGTTGTGGATTGGGACACACTGTATAAGCTGTGTGGTTCAGCAAACAAGTGGAGTGAACAATTTTTCTTTTCTAGTAAGATATGATGACGGTTCTTTAGCTGCAATAAGGCATGTTCAAAGTATCATACCCGTAGTACGACCACGCCCAAATATACGCTCACACAGCGTCTTGTTCTAGCATATATCCGAGCACAATTTGAAATCTTAGTGACAGCCCTACTGCAGGGAATAATGCAAACTATTGTTAACTCTTAAGGAATCTGACCCCCATATTGTCCACAGTTAAATTTTGCTCAAAAGTAACCAACTGTGGTCAATGAGCAAATAGCAAGACCCACACTATGACTTTTTCTTAGCATGTCATTGACCCAGTTTGAAAATGATTGAGCCTGGTGGCCCTGGTAAGGGTCACTTCGAGCAACCAAGGCTCCATGGTGGCCATGAATATGAGAGTCAAAGAAAATCAAAGTTCCATTACTGTCTACAATGATAATCCTTGTTTTGTCATTGACCACTAACACATGGAATGACTGCTTCTGTTGGAGAATCAAGTTTACCACTGCAGCATACTGATTCAGTGGATCCGCACCAAACACATTATACTCCTGCACAATACCACTGATGTGACAGTGGTCACCAATTGCAGAAACAGCATCTTCCACAGCAACATCAATCCCCTCACCTCCAAACAGTTCATCATGAAAATCGTTTCCAGTCCTGATTGCTTCTATTACAGCTGCCTCCCATTGTCTGTTGAGGGGTTGTCCAACAGCTGGCGTAGGTAAACTGGACTGGCGATAAATGGAACCAAAGCAAAGCGCAATAAAAGAGCATGCATTGCTACCATTTCTGCCATCGACTTTTGACTGACTAACAATACTAGGAAATAACCACTCTGTGATGCCACATCCAACGTCTGTTCCAGTTACAGATGGTGTCATTACAGGTGTTGTGTTAGATGCTGATGTAGTATTGGAGCGTACTGGAAGTGATGGTGTGGCTGGGGGTGCTGCTGCTGGTGCTAGTGCTGGGGATGGTGCCGTGGGTGCTATTGTAACTGCAAATACAGGTGTAGATGAAGTGTTCAAGCTTACAGGAAGTGATATGGATGGAGGTGCTGGTGCTGTGGGTGCCCCTGTAGATGTTGATGCTGGATATGAGGATGGAGTTGATGAGGGGAGTGAAGAACCTGTGGACCTTGTCAGTCCAGACGCTGAAGAAGGGTCCGGTTGATTGGCATTTCGAGCAGGCAGTGTTCTCCGGGCGTTTTGGATGTCTCCAGCCATACTCTCCATTTCTCGTTTTCGCTTCTGATGGTAAGTGCTCCACCAGCTCTTAATCTGACTTTCTTTGAGTGGTTCCAAGCCTCTTTCCCTCATAGCTGAAATGCAGGCCAGTGGGTCTGCCCTTATGCCATAGTTTGCCTGCCTGTTATGAAATTCGATCATAACCTCCTTCTGCTGAAGGGAAAACACTGTCCGCTTTGCACCACCAATTTTTAAGGCGAAACCTGGTTTTAGGAGGTTCAACTTGTCCTGATCGGTGCCGACAATCTCGGAAGAATCTGAATTCCTTTGGTGCTCCATCTCATGTTGCACAAAACGGACACTGTAAACCTCATGACTTCCACTTTGTCTTGTACCCGCTGTTTCTTGCAGGACAGGAATTTCGTCAGATGTAGCAGCACCAGTTGCACCTGCGATGGGGCGTCTGCGATTGGCAATACTTTGGAGCTGCTGTTGGGTTTTTTTTAATTCCTTGCCAATGCCTGCAAGAGAGTGGGCTATAAGTCCTCCATTGTGTGGGCCAGAAGTTGGAAACTCAAAGCTTCCAAAGAGGGAGATGTCTTTGAGTGTCCCTCACTTTTCTGGTGCCTTGCTTCTGTCGATGAGGAGTTTTCTACAAGTCACATTCTTCATTGACTGCAAAATTAAACAAACAAGGAACTGTCACATTAGGAAGCAGCTAAGGCACAATGTTAGAAGTAATTACCAAGCCAAGCACTCAAAACCATCCATCCCCCAGTAAGCCCTTAAATCTTTTTTAGTATACTAGATAATAATAATGATAACAATAATAATAATAATAATAATAATACTAATACAGTCGACTCCCGATAATTCGAACCTTCAAGGGAAACAGAAAAAAGTTCGAGTTATCGAGTGTAAAATTATATGGAAACTGTTTGGAAGGGAAAAGAAAATTGGTTCGAGTTAGCGGGAGGTTCGAGTTATGGAGGGTTCGAGTTACTGGGAGTAGACTGTAATAATAATAATAATAAGATGGCAATGCTTGTGCTAGAATTAAAATAAGTGTATTAATTTCACTTTATTCTCGTTTGTGATGAATTAATGATAACAATTTAATTAATTTATTGCAATTATTTTGAAGTGACCATTGCAGTTTACTCAGGTAAACAAGAAAAATAATAATAAAGAAATTGGGTTTGACTGACAAAAATTGTACAATACGGTTACTAACACTTTCATCATTTTCTACACTGGAGAGGAGCTCTACTTTCATGGTTTAGTATCTTTGAAGTGTTTGTAAGTTGTAAGCTTTAGTGTCACTGTATTATTCCAAATTTCATCACATTGTGTTGCATACAAAGTGTTGAACATTGCAGGTTTAATACAGACATTTACACAAAAAAATGCAGACGAGAAAATAACTGAATGCTAACCAAAAATATACTCATAACTGGGGAACATAATTAGAGGGAGGGGAAGGATTACCCCTTAAAAAAGAGAGAGGGTATGGCATAATTCAAACATTGGAAAATATGATGGGTGCTTTTAGAGAGTTGCTACACAAGTCAAACATACATACCCCTATAAGGTCTCCCAATTGACTTCCTGTTTCCAAATNTATCTTTGAAGTGTTTGTAAGTTGTAAGCTTTAGTGTCACTGTATTATTCCAAATTTCATCACATTGTGTTGCATACAAAGTGTTGAACATTGCAGGTTTAATACAGACATTTACACAAAAAAATGCAGACGAGAAAATAACTGAATGCTAACCAAAAATATACTCATAACTGGGGAACATAATTAGAGGGAGGGGAAGGATTACCCCTTAAAAAAGAGAGAGGGTATGGCATAATTCAAACATTGGAAAATATGATGGGTGCTTTTAGAGAGTTGCTACACAAGTCAAACATACATACCCCTATAAGGTCTCCCAATTGACTTCCTGTTTCCAAATTGTTGCCCACTCTGACCCATCGAACAATTTTATGACTGATATGGGCAAAGTGGGTATCCAGCTTTGACTTCCCTTCACCAGCCTCAAAATTGTTATACTCCACCAAAGTCAGCTGGAATGCTTGGCTTAATTCTGCTAAATACAGGATGAACCCTGTATTGTGGTAGTGTGGGCCATTGTCTAAATGACGAAAAGATTTTCACAATATTAGGTACTCAGTCTTTATAATGATAATGTTTAAATATTCAGTTTTATAGCTTGTGTTTTGAGTCCACAATCCCTTTTGTCCTAGTAACACTTAGTCCAAAAAAATGTGCTGCCCCAAATAGACCTAGAAGAATGCAATGGATACTCAAAAGCAGATTCTGCAGGTTCACTTGGTTGTAAAGGAGTGACAGTTCCCTTAGATGTAGATACAATGTATCCCATCGGGAATTTTTTAATAACTCAGGTGGAAGTTATAGCTGATTAAGACACAAGGAATGTTTTACAGTTTGACTACTGTAGTGTATTTTCCATTCACTGTTCCAAACTGACACAAATTACTACTATACTACAATATTGTATTTCCTTTCTTTATACTACTACAAGAGAAATTTCTGCAATTTAATTGGCTCAGAGCAGTGGTATTTCAGCTTTGAAATGCCTACATGTGAAAATTACAAACCTTTTGCGGGTAGTAGTATAAACAAATAATAGCATGATTTGTATGTGATGTTTGGCATAAATATCACTTGTGATATTTCAAAATTGTCTCAAAATTACGTACAACAATTTTGAAGTATGACTCGTGGTATTTATGCCAAATATCACTACAAATCATGCTATTACCTATACAAATGTAAATAGTCTTACTAATATGAATACTCACCAGAAAATAAATATACTCGAAAGCCAGGGAACTCCTTCTCCATCCAGCGAAAACACACGTCCATGGCACTCTGGCTAAACCAAGCATCCTGCTTGGTGTCCTCACTCCAGAGATCAATCACCTCTGTTCTTCTCTCTGTTTCACTAACTTGGGCAATGGCAAGGAAGCCGTGTAGGGAAATTCCACGCTTCCCATACCAGTCTCTCTGGATTTCTCGCGTTCTAACACCTAACTCCAATTTCATTTTGTAGTCGACAACTACAACAGCTTCACCAGCCTGCAGGTTGTCCAGAATGTACTTATAGTACTCTCCTTGATGACGTGTCCGTAACAGATGTGCCGTGTATTGAGTATGAACTTGCATCAGATCATCCACTTCTTTCCTTAGGCAATCTTCTTCACCCTCACTTGGCACACTTGACAACAGCATCTGCACTTGCTTGTACACATCATAAATGCCACAAGCATCTGGGCAAAACCTGTCATGAGGATGCGAACAGGAGGCAAATGCATTGGTCATGCAGAGTTCTAAGCATGGAGAATGCCTCTGCACCTGGTGGGCAAACTGGGTCTTCATGAAGCGTTGGTGCTGCAACAATTTTTCCCTCAAATCCTTAACAGACACCATTGTTGCTCTTTCGACACTGCCAAGCAAAGTCATAAACTTCTCAAAATTTGAATGTCCAAACTCATCACAGAGATTGCAAAGCCCTGCAAGCATGGTGATGTAGCGGAAATTGGGTGGAAGGTGTGTGTAAATAAAAGTGCGCTTCACGCCATTGGGGAATTCCAGGAGATATTGGTTGACAATCTCTTTAACATTGTCCTTCCAATACCTGACAGGTGTTTCCTGGCCATCTGTTATTACACTTCTGCAGGAAGAAGGCCTTGAAACACTCTCTCTGTTGAAAAATTCAGACAGTTCCATCACCACATCAGGACTGACACATTGTCTTGTAAATTTGAATTTTGCTGGAGGGGTTCCACCACGGCCAAACAAAATACAATGGACCTTTGCCGCCGCTACTGTCTTTGAAGAACAGTGAAACAATTCTTGCAACATGCTGTACGGATAGTCCATGGCGACAATGGACAAAAGTCTTCGTCTCTCATCTGCATAACAAGTTAGTCTGCCAATGGAATTTGCAGCACTAACCCTGTCCTTGAAGTGCTCTGGTGTTTTTTCACCCGTGAGAGTAACACGTGAATCTTTAAGTGAATTACCAATGCAAATCTTGCCTGTTTGTTTTAAGGACCTCCTTCTTGCTTCTCTTTTCTGTTCTTTGTCCATACAAGCTCTATACTCTTTCACAAGAGATTGCATGGTCGGGTTATTGCAAATGTCTTGATTGTCCACATCAAGCCCAAATACTGAACAGAAATTCTTGTTTTGAAGTAATTCATTCATAAATTCTGACATATCTTCTGGCACAAAATGAACAGTTTTCATTACTTCATCTTTCATCAACTCAATGACGTCAGCCCTGACAAGCCTTTGTGCCGGGTCGGACAACTCCTTGTAGGGTACTTGGCGTACTGGGGGCTTTTGAGTGCCTCTGTCACAAGAAGTTGCTACCGAAGAGGCCGCAATGTGAGCTGTTGGTTCTGCTCTTACTTCTAATATGTCACTCTCATGAAGGACATCTGCCACGCAGGATGTGCTTAAGCCGTCACCTGACGTTGAGGCTTCAACTTCATCAGGCATCATTGGTGCTGGTGTCACTACCAAATCATTGACCACATCCCCCACATTGCAAGTACTTGCATTGCTACTTCCAAATTGAGCCCTTGTACAAATTTCCTAAGTAAAGAAAGAATACCCAGGGATTACAGAAAAGCACTTAATCCAAGGAGTAAAGATTATAAAGTATTGTTAAGGGTTAACAGTTATTATTTGAAGTGAAACAAGTAACAAAGGGACAAACTTAATGTGGCAGTGACAGTATTCTGAGAAATGTACATAAACTGGACTGCTCACCAATGCATAGTAGTCAAATTGAACTCTGAGTTCTCTCTATATTCCTCTCGGTGTTTCGTCCATGGTTTGAATAAGTGCTGCTCTCGAATAAGGGCAGCTTTAGAATAATTGCTACACCTTTACATAGAAAATAAAATAAGCGTCGCGGCGCTTAATCGATCATTCACGGTATGTGTTTCTGTTGATGTTTACCCTAAGCTGCTAAGAAAATATAACAGGCTTTACTGATGGTCAGCAAGTTACATATAAATCTTAATTGACAAACTATACAAGCTTTACAAATACTATTCACTGATAAATAAAAACGTTTTTCAATCTATCTCCATCAGAAACTATACAAATGATGTTTGGGAGGGTTCTGTCAAACGCATGTAGAGGAGGCACACGTGTGACAAAAACACATGCCACATTTGAATTGAAATAAACCAAAGCCCGTGAAAATGTCTAAATAAAAGAGTCCTACGCGACAAACATAAAAGGACTTATTATTCGAGAGGGCTTTACCGATAAACAACGCGGAGTATTTCAAAGATAACTTATGAACAAAACAAATTCAAAAAGGCATAAACTGAATGTGAACAAAAGAAGGTGTGAACCTTACCTCCAGTTTCTGGCACTTGACTTCAGCGTGCAGCCTTGAACGGCAAGAAACACAAATTTTTCTTTTTCTCCCCTTGTTCTTTGGATCTTCACTAGCAAGAGTTAAGGTTGAGGACGCTCGCTTCCTCGCGGGTACACTGGCAATTGCTCACCATTTACTTTTCCATGCTTCCATTCATTGTGACGAGGACAGCAGCAAACGGCTTGAAACGGCATGACGAACGATACCGAGGCCCAGAAGACCGCAAAAAATCAACCACTTAAACTTTTTGTTATTATTTACAAACGTATTTACAATATATTTACAATTATGAGCGAGCAAAACGACTTGAAAAGAAGGAACTAATGCAACCCGAGTGTGATCAAGATGGCGGCCGTGCTGTGAAATACGAGACACGATCGTCCAATCCTCGTACGCTTGTTCGCTCACATCCGAATCTCCCGACAAAGTACAAAACAATAGGTCGGAACAATACCTTTCCTTTGTTCGATATTTCTGACTTACAATCGTCTTTTTCCGTTGAAAATTCGGGAAAAAATGACTTCTGACCAATCAGATCGTTCCATTTTAAGCTGCGGTCGCTTGCTGGCATTCTTCACATTCCGGTGCCGGTTTCTCTTTCCACCTCAGCCGAAGCAAAAAAGCTAATGATTAAGTAACGGCTTTCATTTTTCAGATTTAAAGCCTTACGACTAAATTTGTTGTAGTCTTATAGCCAATCAACAATCAGTTTAGCGTTATGACAAGGTTTGGTAAACTGATGTCTACTGAAACCATGCTCCGTCTTTATAAGGCATTTATACTTCCTCACTTTTATTATTGTTCCATGGTGTGGCATTTCTCTAGTAAACAAGATTCTGATAAATTGGACCTATTAAACAAACGTATTCTTCGATTTATTTTCAAGGATCTTAACTCTGAGTACAATAATTTACTTAAAAAGGCAGGAACTGCAAACCTTAAGGACAAGCGTTTACAAAACATGATTCTTACTATTTTTAAATGTCTTCATTTTTCTGATTATCCGAGATATTTAAAAGATATGTTTCGCTTACGCTCTAGCACCTATTTTTTAAGAGTACATAATATGCTCTGTTTGCCTAAACCATTGACCACTTCTTATGGTATCAATTCCTTTAGTTACTTGGCAGCAACATCTTGGAATTCTCTTCCTGACCATCACCGCACTATTTCTGATTTACTTCAATCTTTTCGACGACTGATATGTACTGGGAACAATAATTTACTTAAAAGGGCAGGAACTGCAAACCTTTCTACATCATAATAATTTGCAAGTTAGTTGTCTAGGTAGTTAGTTATCTTATTTGTTATTTGTTATGGGCTCCTGTTGTTATATAGAATTAACTTTTTATTATAATTATTTATTAATATAGTTGGCTCGAAGATATTAGCACTTGAGTGCTACACTGTAAATTAGAGGGTAAATAAAATTTATTGATTGATTGATTGATTGAGCTAACAGTTCATTCTATTACTCTGAAAGCCTCCTGTTGTTTTGGGTTTCCTTGAGTGGAACATGGGCTTCCTGTGCAAAAGCCAACCGTGTTTAATATTTATCCCTTTTGAAAAAAGAAACACTTCGTTTTTATCAGCGAAAACTAGGTAGCAGTTATTCTTTCTTCTGTCACTTTTCCATAAAAGTAACGAACACATTTTGTGCATTTTTTGTTTAACCGTATGATTTCAACTAACGTGGGTGCCCTGTGTTAATAAAAATTTTGACATGTTCCGCCGAACGGATTTTGGCGGATTTTTAGTATGTTGTTAGATAGGCCACCCTTACTTAAATGACGTTGAAAATAATTCTGTTGCAATTAGTTTTATGTTGAGCCTTGAAAATGCCTAGATTGACTGGACTAGCGAGTCAAAGATCGTAGAAGAAGTTAAAATAGAATACAAGGATACAGACGGAAAATGCACTTCTTTGAAAACGCTTTAAGATGCCAACATTTCCCAATTTTCGCCCTGACATTTTTTGGAAAACTCAACGAGATCTCACATACGTGGATATTAATTTTAAGACTGAAGGATCGAAAGAATTCAATTTTTGGAAAGATTTTTATTTTGCTTTATCTGCAAATTACTTGTTACAGAGACATACAACTGACGTGTGTTCCATATATAAATATCGGTCATCATACATCATCAAACACTGACCGACTGAAAATGTTACGATGGAGGACGAAAGCATCAGGGTATTCCGATCATTCTACCCCGAGAGAATCATCGATAAAAAGGATTACACGAATTGTTTCCCAAAACCTCTAAACAGCTGGCTGCCATGTCAAGTACAAGCAAGACGGCGATGTCGCAGACTCAGTTGTGGATAACAGGATGCGATACGCAAAGAAGTCACCAGAAGAGCAAAAATCCGCGAAATTGAGCCAGGTAGCATGTCTGAACGAAGATACATGTGGTTCAGGCACCGATGCCAATGCTGATCTCCCAGGGGAAGCCAACCCCGCACCGCCTGAGCCAAAACAGGACAAACCTAAGAAAAAGTGCTCCAGGAAACAACAGCGGACGTCGGAGGAGGCCCACATGGCGCACATGAAGATGTGACAAGGCTGTGAAAATGATGAGTAAAATAGAACGTAATTTAGATAAATAGCGACGAGGACTAAACATGCGAAATATTGAACTGCCAATTTTCTTTTGTTCATTTTTTTCAGTTGATAGTATTTGTAAGCGAAAACGCTGAAGATAAAATGCTTTTTGTCACACAATTCGTCTTTTATTTGATGGTTCTATTCGTGCCTGCCGCAAATAAAGGAAAAGTTACCGATGAGAAAACACCCCGGGTCAGTTTTGCATATTTAGTGGACTTTTGCACTATAGTGGCTCTAGTTGGAGTTATGTGAAAGATATCTAATTGGACAGTATTTGATTGCTATAAAGGAAGCCAAGTATTTGAGTCGGGTGTGAATTGAACGGACCTCGTGCGTTTCATGGCGACGCCTACACCACGTTTGAGTTAATAATAATCAATAGCACATCGAATCCGCAGAAATACATTTTTGGTTGATTGCGTTCGATGCTAGGGAGTCATTTTGCATTTGTATACTCAGTCAACCGTCGTCTGTATAGCTTTTCGCAAACAAAGCGCTTCAAAATAGTATCTAGGCTGAAATGTCGTCTCCTACAGATGAGGAAGTCCATCGATATATACAAGAAATAGTAAGGGGTAATAAAGGTGTAAGGAAAAGACTGGAAAAAGATGTTCGTGCTATGTGCGCAATGCTGTCGACACTAGTAGAGGATGTTTATAAAAAAGCTGCAAAAGAACGAGACTTAGCTCAGAGACTGAGACGAAGTTTTAAAGACATCTATGGGAGCCTAAAACTGCATCTGAAATTCCACCTCGGGGATGCCGCGGAAATAACTGAGCTCAATAGACTAGGCCAGGAGATTGGATTGACCAAGGAAGAACAGAATGCACTTCCAGAGGAAAAATGTGCCATTGACCCTGGAAGCAAAATATTGGAAATTGTAAGTATCATTTTACAAAGTCTTTCATAATGTTTCTCTATAAAACTAGACACCAGAAGGTGTATACTGGGCAGCCATAAAACCTAGACTAGATAGAAACAAGAATTACTTCGTGAATTTTACCGGGGCCTTTTGTCTTGGCAACCCACATGGAAGGGTCGTTTTCATCAACAAGTTTGTCGGGCGGCATGAAAGTCTTTTTTATTGCAAATTTTCTTTAGAGATGAAAACAAGGTGTAATGAATAATGTGAAAAAGTTTCCTGTAGCGAGTGCGAATTGTAAGGTATTGAAACGCACAAACAAAGTTTCGCGCATGCAAGTTTAATAAGTTAAGATTTTTGTTTTGTCGTAGTGTACACAGTTCAACAGCGACTAAACTTTGTCATCGTTAGGATGAATACTGTAACAATATTTTTCAATACACAGGGATTGATAAGGAGCAAATATAGTCGCATTAACCATTCCGTTCCAAAACTAATCGAATTAATACTTGGCCCTAAGCCTATTTAATGAATAATTAATTTTCTTTGAATTATTTCAATATACTTCTAAATCACAAAGGTAAACAATTATGTTCAGTAAAGGTGAGGGCATAAAAACGCCGTAGCAATGGTTTAA